TGAATAACACACATCTCAAGGGTCCTCTTATTGTTTTTCTTTTGGAGAACAGTTCTGTGGCAAAATGCCTTAAACATGGGTCATTTAACTGAGTCTGGGGATATAATAACATCCACATGTTGTTTGTTCATTTACTATCATAGACCTTTGGTGTCATGTATTATAGCTTATAGGTGTGTATAGAGAGAGAGAGAGCAAAAGAGAGCATTGAATCAACAAATCTGCTAACGATATTGGAGATAATTTTTTAAAAAAAATATCACCCAGTTTCCCCCAAAATAAGACATCCCCTGATAGTAAGCCCAATCGGGCTTTTGAGCTCATGGCAATAAGGCCAAGCACTTATTTCAGGGTTCAAAAAAAATATAAGACAGGGTCTTATTTTCGGGAAAACACGGTACAATGATTCTAAAAAAATACTTTGAACACTTTAATGGATACAGATTGTAAGGTCTTACTAAAGGAATATATTAACAGCTGTCAACTTCATATAGCACAAAGATATAGTAATAATGAGGGGAAAGGGTTAGATCTCCCTTTTGTACAGTTATAATGTGTCTTTATCTTACAGATTTAATATTTAATATTCTGCTTTCTACAGAAATATAGATTCCTATGTTATTGGAAAAATGAAAACCACATAGAAACTGAAAGAGAGATGCACACGTCAGACACCAGTGTAGTTCTCCAGACCATGGTGTAATACCTAACAGTAGCTATGAATGAACCACTAATAAAACAATTACTTTTATATCTCCTTATTCAGTCATATGACAATAGGTTTATCCTTAAACTTAGATTGTTCAACATTGAATATCCTGGACTGACTAGCTATATGAATAAGATCAAAGACATCATTCTGTTCCATTCTGTTCCATTACATTCCCTTCATAATTGTAAGATCAGGTTTAAAGGTCCAAATAGTGGCTAGATATTTTATGATAAATACAAATCTGGCTGCACAGCAGAAGCTTATAAGTCTAACGGGCCAATTTAGCATATGTTCATACCACATGCTAAAATGAAGCTGAACAAGATATAGTGGGAAGTTGTTCGAATCAAACCTGTAAGTTATTTAAAAATGGCATTTTATTCATTGTGGAGTTTTCCAACAGAATGTCTTTTTTTACGATGTACTGTGGATTGATATAAGAAGTATGGCAGAGTTTGTGAATGGTAGTGATGTCTACTTTTTAAACAGCATCCAGCATATAATGCCTCCTACTTTCCACAATATTTTAAAATGAAAAATGTTAAGGAAGGAGGCAGAACATTATACTTACATGTTTCAAATGTCTTCTGCCATTTTTAATACCATTTTTTTCCTTTATCTTGAGCATTTTTTCATCCAAAATTATATGAAGCATAACCTTTCCAAATCAGATTTTAGTTTTTTTAAAAAAATTTGGGTGATGATCTTGATGATCTCTAGTGTTTCAAAATGTAAGGCAAAAAAAGAGGAAGTCCAGACTGAGATTTTTGTCTTTTTGGAAACTTTAAACTATATTGTAAGTTTTACATTATGGCTTTTGAAGGATTACCACTTCAAAAATAGGAAGAAAAATGGTTGAAAAATTAGAATTTTCAACCATTCTAATTAAAAAGGATACATCAAAAGAAAAAAAAATACACAGATAATAGGGAATGGGGCAATATACAGGGTTGAGTTGGTCGGATCTTGGCCATGTTAGCCGAAGCTACTTAGACATCTCTCCATTGGCTAAATGTTTTGCGATACTAACTGTTGTGGTCTGCCAGCAGCCTGCAGAGCTGGCAGCGGAGTCGGACAGTGAGGAGGCTGAGGAAGAACATAGGCCAGTCCTGAAGGCTGGGGAAGGCCCGGATAAAGGCTCTGCATCAGAGGCAGAGATGGGGCCAGGGCCATCTGGGAGTGATGTGCGGACTCTGGAGCCTCCAGAGGCTGACAACAGGGAGGCAGAGGAACAGGAGGAGCCTGTTTCTAGTGCACGCATGAGAAGAGCTGCCAGAAGGCAAGAGCAACTAAAGCAAAAAGGACGATTCAGGAATAAGGCCAAGAGATGATTGGCCCCTCCCATAAGGCTTAAAAGACCAGCAATGGCTCTTGGGCTCTTTGTCGGAAAACAACATTGATAGATTTATTTCTTATCTTGCTGCTTTTATTTCTTGTTGGTGTCTTCTGCTTCTGAACTTTTGCCAAGAAAAGCCTTTGGCAGGTTGCCTAATTAGACCAAGGTTGGTGATAAGGCTGAAGAATTGTGTTGTGAAGAATTTGTTTTGAATTAATTTGGACTATGTGAGAATGAGTTAATTCTCAGCTGTTCTAATAAAGTCTGTTTGTTTTCGAACTGATTGTGTCTGATAATACCTACTTGGACCTGGGTCACAACACTAACAACATGCCCTACCCAGGAGAGACAAATGTCCTACAACCATCTTAAGCCTCAGATGACATGGCCAGTGACTGAGAACTGTGGGAGAGATAATCTAAAACAGCAGGAGATTACTAGCTCACAAATTAACCCTGTCATTTTTCAGGAATGTATGGACACTATAATCATTGGTTGTTTATCTTAATATTCATTACCATTCTGCAAAGATAGGTCTTTCCTCCTTTCAATTATTGAAATGCATGAAACCACAAGTCCAGAAACTGAGAAGTTAGCTCTCTCTATCCATTTGTACCTCAGGACTATTCGACAGTATTCTCAGTGGAATGAAGCAATTCACTTTTTAAGTTCAGATAAGTTTCAAAAGATCTTTATGATGTGGCACAGGGGCTTGCCAACTGCCTTTCACTGGAGAAGGACAGAAAAAGGAAAAGGTCAAAATAATCTGAGGGAAGTGGGGAAACCTTGTGCCAGCAACCGGTATATGAAAAGTGTCAGAGGAACTTCAGATGAGTTATATGTAGGTCCAATCCATTCTCATCTCCATGAGGCAGGGAGAATTCAAATGAAAATATATATTTAAAAGAAAGAAATGGTCATACTTATAGTAGTGGCCAAAATTGTGGAAACCTTTTGGGAAAAGTGTATTTTTGAGGTTTGATGGCTAATAACACCACTTTTTTTTTTTTTTTTTGAGTTTCAAGATAATCATATTCCACTGCTGGAATGACCTGGGAATAGCCCAGACATTAACCCAATTGAAAATTTATGGAGCCGACTAAAGAAACTTGTTAGTCAGAAGTAACCCAGCAATAAAACCCAGTTAATAGAAGCAATCATTCAATCATTCAATCTTGCTTTCACATTATAAGAACTGCAGAACTAAAAGACTTGATTCACTCCATGGGAAGACGTTGTAAGGCTAAATTCATGCTAAAGGTTACCCAACTAAGTATTAACTGATGTCATCATTTTTGTATATCTCATTTTTTCTACATGTTTCACTTTTCTTCTTTATACTGTAACTGCTATTCTAATAGCAAATCCTTCGTAAAAGTTATTGCATTACATTCTTGATTAAATTATCTTTCCATTGATATATAATTTTATGATACTACTGCAAAAGAAAGTAGTGTTCTATGTTATGATTGGAGGACAGCAGTTTTTCTTCCTGCTTCCTCATCCTGGCTGTTTGGCTGCGTGTTACAGGCCTAACTTTCTCAGGTTCTCTATTATTATCTGTCTGCTGTAGAGGGGAAAGGATTCTGGTAGGCATCACAGCACCCAGCACTCCAATCACAACATAGAGTTACAGGCTAACCAGCATACGTCAGCAGCAGCAAACATAGAAAAGCGACAGCTCCAACCTCGCAACACACCCACAGCTTCTAAACTAGATAAGAGCCTGAAGATGACAGGGTTGTGAGCCTGTCGAAACGTTGCTGTTAGAAAAACTTTTAAGGTACTGGTAGATTTTAGCTAAGGTTTTAAATGACCTTTCAGAGTGCTCTGTAAGGATTTTTAGAAGATTTTAAGCTAGGATTTTAACCAGAATTTTGAACATTTTAACTAATTTATTTAACATGACATGGGAAAACACCCGAGATTTTTATATTTATATATATATATATATATATATATATAAATATATATATATATATTATTACACACACACATATTCCTACACAATATATACATTTATATACATTCCAGATGTTCACACAAACTGTGGGAATTACACAATCACCACCCAAATGCTTCACTTTTCAGATATACCGTATTCTGTTTCGGTATGGAAAATATTGCTTGGAGCAAGTCAACCCACCTCCACAAGGCAGCCGTTAATGTTCTCTGTGTGTATCTACTTTAGGTAAGCAGAGCAAAATTCTGTAGTTATTTTGCAAAATAACCACAGAATTTTGCTCTGCTTACCTAAAGTCACACACCCAATTTAGAAATGGGGCACTTTGACCCTTTTTGGAGATGGTTCATTCAAATCATGATAGAAACGAAGTGCCCTTTTGAATATATATGTATCCCTACCTCATATTAAAGTACAGTAATACAGTTTTGTCTGGACTGCATCATTTCTCATGATAAATTTCATTCATTCATTCTTCATTCATTCAGTTTGGAGGGTGCCCACCTCCTTAATGACTCTGGGCATCCTACAGTTAAAAGAAGCCATAGGGACCCAACAATCATCCTATCTCAAAGCCTGGGAGAACAAGCAGGTTTTGAATAGTTTTCAGAATGCCATTCAGTGGATGCAAAATGGCTTTCTGGCGATGGCTCCTAGATGACAATTAACATAGCCAAATGCTTCTCCAAATAGAGAGATTCCAAAGAAAAAGAAAATTATAAGGTCATGGAAATGTTCTCTTCGTTCTTAACTTTTGGTGGTAGTCCAAAGTAGAACATGTCCATAACATTACTTGTTCTGGATGAGATACCCCTGCAGATGCACAAAGCACTCCAGAAATATTTGGATTGACTTGTTCTAGTATAATGTAAATAATGGGAGAAATTTTTGGAGAAAAACCAGCATGTTCTACAATCTCATTTTGGAGATTGTAGTGAAGACTATAAGAATGAAACATTGAAAGATCATACCATTCGTTTTATACTCGCCTGTTTTTCTCGTGGATTTTCAAGATTTCATGTGTCTGTTGGAGCAATTGTTTCTCCAGCTTGTAAGTAGATAAGGAATTTTCCAGCAGTTGGATTTCAAGCCGGGATGTTTGATTAAGAACCTGAAGAAGGCAAACAACCAAAAAAAACACCTTGCAATAAATTAAGGCTGCACAATGAATCTTTATTGGTACAGGTATGAACAAGAAGATTAATGTTAAAATGACCTCACTAAAGATAGACCCAGATCAAAAGCAATCTGATTCATAACTATCATCTTGATCAAAATATGCAATGCACCTTATATAGATACCTAATTGATATATCTTATTTAGTAACAGCAGAAAGTAATACAGGATTTCTAGTATTCGTTTCCCCTTCGTGGATTACTGCCTTGTCATGGTGAAGGGACTTGTGTAGCTCAATGAAGTTATGAGCTATGCCATGCAGGGACATCCAAGACAAGCAGGTGATAGCAGATAGTTCTGACAAAACGTGATCCACTGGAGAAGAAAATGGCACCCACTCCAGTATCTTTGCCATGAAAACCCCATGAACAGTACCAAAAGGCAAAAAGTTATGATGCTGGAAGATGAGCCCCTCAGGTCGGAAGGTGTCCAGTATGCTACTGGGGAAGAGCAGAGGGCTAGTACTAGTAGCGCCAGAAAGAGTGAAGCGACTGGGCCAAAGCCGAAAGGACACTCAGCTGTGGATGCATCTGCTGGTGCAAGGAAAGTCTGATGCTGTAAAGATTTTTTCTCTACAGGAACCTGGAATGTAAGATCCGTGAATCAAGGCAAGCTGGACGTGGTCAAACAAGAGATAACAAGACTGAACATCGACATCTTAGGAATCAGCAAACTAAAATGGACAGGAATGGGTGAATTTAATTCAGATGGCCATCAGGTTTAGTTTAGTTTAGTTTAGTTTATTAGATTTGTATACCGCCCTACTCCCGAAGGACTCAGGGCGGTGAACAGCCATGAAATAAAACATATCAATACAAAATTTAAAATAGAAATAAAACAAGTTAGATAAATTTGGCTGAACCATATTTAAAACCCCAATAATTTAAAACCAAATTTAAAATTCCCATTTAAAAGAGGAGAAGTTTAGGTCAGGCCGGCTTGCTGGAATAGGAACGTCTTCAGCGTGCGACGGAAGGTACGCAGATCCGGAATCCTCCGTATCTCGGGGGGGAGCTCGTTCCAGATAGTAGGTGCCCCCACAGAGAAGGCTCTCCCCCTGGGGGCCGCCAGTCGACATTGTTTGGCCGACGGCACCCGGAGGAGCCCCTCTCTATGGGAGCGTACTGGTCGGTGGGAGGCTATTGGTGGTAGCAAGCGGTCCCGTAGATAACCAGGTCCTGAGCCATGGAGCGCTCTAAAGGTGATGACCAAAACCTTGAAGCGCACTCGGAAGACCACCGGGAGCCAGTGCAGCTCGCGCAGGAGAGGCGTTACATGGGAGCGCCATGTCGCTCCCATCACCACCCGCGCGGCCGCACTCTGCGCCAGTTGGAGCCTCCGAGTGCTCCTCAAGGGGAGCCCCATGTAGAGAGCGTTACAATAGTCCAGACGGGAGGTGACGAGGGCATGAGTGACCGTGCGTAACGAGTCCCGATCCAGAAAGGGACGCAACTGGCGAATCAGGCGAACCTGATGAAAAATCCTCCCGGTCACGGCCGTCAAGTGCTCTTCTAAAGACAGCCGTGAATCCAGGAGGACACCCAAGTTGCGAGCCCTCTCCGTGGGGGCCAATACTTCGCCCCCAATAGTCAGCGATGGCACCAGCTGACTATATCGGGATGTCGGAAACCACAGCCACTCGGTCTTGGATGGGTTGAGTCTGAGCCTGTTTCTCCCCATCCAGATCCGTACGGCCTCCAGGCACCGGGACATCACTTCAAGGGCATCGTTGGGGTGGTCCGGGGTGGAGATGTACAGCTGGGTGTCGTCAGCGTACTGATGGTACTCCACCCCGAAACCACGGATGATCTCGCCCAACGGCTTCACATAAATGTTGAACAAAAGGGGCGAGAGGACCGATCCTTGTGGCACCCCACATATAAGGGGCCTCGGGGTCGACCTCTGCCCCCCTGTCAACACAGACTGCGACCGGTCGGAGAGAAAGGAGGAGAACCACCGTAGTACGGTGCCTCCCACCCCCAACCCCCCCAACCGGTGCAGCATGATACCATGGTCGATGGTATCAAAAGTCGCTGAGAGATCTAATAGGACCAGGATAGAGGAACAACCTCTGTCCCGAGCCCTCCAGAGATCATCCACCAACGCGACCAATGCCGTTTCCGTGCTGTACCCAGGCCTGAAGCCCGACTGGAACGGATCTAGATACGTCGTTTCATCCAGGTACCGGGGAAACTGTCGTGCCACCACACTCTCAACAACCTTCGCAACAAAGCGAAGGTTGGAGACTGGACGATAATTAGCCAATATTGCCGGGTCCAGGGAAGGCTTCTTGAGGAGAGGTCTCACCACCGCCTCTTTCAAGGCGGCGGGAAAGACACCCTCACTCAATGAAGCATTTATAATCCCCTGGAGCCAGCCTCGCGTCACCTCCCGGGAAGCCAGCACTAACCAGGAGGGGCACGGGTCCAACAAACATGTGGTCGCATTCAGTCTACCCAGAATCCTGTCCACGTCCTCAGGGGTCACAGAGTCAAACTCATCCCAGATAACATTCTCAGGACCTGCCTCCGTCATCCCCACTGGATCTACCCAGTCAGAGTCCAGATCTTCCCGAATCTGAGTGATTTTGTCATACAGATACTGAACAAAATCCTCGGCTCTCCCCTCCAAGGGGTCCTCCCTCGCTTCCTGGTGGAGCAGGGAGCGGGTCACCCTAAACAGGGCGGCCGGGCGGTTATCTGATGACGCGATAAGAGCAGCAAGATGAGTACATTTCGCTGCTTTTATCGCCACTAGGTAATTCTTAATATGAGATCTTACCAGTGTCCGGTCAGATTCAGTGCGACTGGCCCTCCAACTACTCTCTAGGCGTCTTTTCCGGCGCTTCATCTCCCTCAGCTCCTCAGTAAACCAAGGAGCCAGGTGAGATCGGCGCCGGGTCAGAGGCCGCAAAGGCACGACTCGATCCAGAGCTCCAGCGGCCGCCCTATCCCAGGCGGCCACTAAGTCTCCAGTCGAGGCGTGAGCCAAGACCTCAGGCATTGGCCCAAGCTCCGTCTGGAACCTATCAGGTTCCATCAGGCGCCTGGGGCGGAACCATATTATCGGTTCCGCCTCCCTGCGGCGGGGAGCAGCGGTTCGAAGATCAAGGCGAAGGAGAGAGTGATCCGACCATGACAAGGGCTCGATAACTATGTCCCCTATCTCGAGATCACTCAGCCACTGTCCAGAGACAAAAATCAGGTCCAGTGTGTTTCCCCCCCATGTGCGTAGGGCCATGAATTAGCTGGGTCAGATCCATAGCCATCATGGAAGCCATGAACTCCCGAGCCACCTCAGACGTCTCACCCACGGACGGCAGGTTGAAATCCCCCATGACCATAAGTCTGGGGGTATCAACCGCCACCGCGGCAATAACGTTGAGTAGCTCGGGCAGGGCTGCTGCCACGTGGCAGGGAGCCAGGTACGTGATCAGCAAACCCATCTGAACCCCATGACCCCACTTCACAAGGAGGGTCTCACAACCGGCCGTCTGAGGAACAGTGGTCTCCCTCGGCCTAAAACCTTCTCTAATAATAACCGCTACTCCCCCGCCCCTTCCCTGAGACCTCGGTTGATGGAATGCGTGGAAGCCTGGTGGGCACATTTCTACCAGAGGGACCCCTCCCTCCAGGCCCAACCAGGTCTCCGTAATACCTGCCAGGTCCGCTCCCCCCTCCTGAACAAGATCACAAATGAGGGGGGCTTTATTTACTGCGGACCTGGCATTGCACAACATCAGCCGAAGGCCCGGGCCCTGAGGATCTGTGCAACCTGGAGAACGAGTGGAGCCTTGGGGGCCGGAGCACGCTACCGCATGGAGACAGCGGGTGCGCGCTCCCTTAACATGATATGGCCCCCTGCTCCCGCCATATCTACCCCTCCCCCTCACAGTACCGATGGTAAAAACACAATCTGGACAGGCTCGACCCCCTCCATTTCCTCCGGAACTCCCACCCCCCCCCCCGCGTATAGTGGCCAGGCCTGACCTTCCCCTTGGTGGGTTATCCCCCAAACCCACTACCCTAGTTCCAATTTTGCCCCCCCCCCCCCGGAACCCCTTAAAATTTTTTCCAAAAATTTACATAAAAAACCCCTCAACCCCCTCTTCGCCGCATGCCACCTCTCTGGGTCCCAAGACCCGTCATTGAGGTAGGCCCTCGATAACGTGGAGGGCCAGGCTTGCGAGAGGGGGGAGTCTCACAGTGCAAGAAGCTGTGCCCTTCGGTACATCTAAGCTCTGAGGTAGTGATAAGGTATGGGCCCAGGGCTCCATGATAGTCCAAATTGTCCTGAAAAAGGCAGGTTGACCATAAGGGAAGAGTCTCCACTGTCCTCTCACGGCAGTGGAGGAGTCCAATGTTCCAACCAATTCGAGGGTAATCGTCCAACCAGCCTCTCACGATGGTTGGCCAACTCGCCATGGGGAAGATGGTACATCCCATCGGTAGTGAAACAATGATAGAAACCGGCTCCATTCGTCCTCCTGTAAGCTGCCATTTTTCATACAGCCAGTGTGCTAGATAACAAACAGAGCCAGGTCCAAAGTCTCCAGAAGAAAGAGAGCTGTCCACAATTTTCATACAGGTAGCGTATAGATGGATAATACAGGTAAGCAAATAGAGGAAAATAAGTGGGAGCCACCTCCATCGAGCGGAAACCGGCAGGGCAAGCATGTTAATCATAGGGCCTGATAATGGCCCAACTAGGACGGGAGGGGGGGGGAGGGGGGGAGAGGGTTAACCAGGGCTGCACAGTAACTCCAACAGCCCCTCCACCCTCATTAACCCCCCCCCTCGAATCTTCCAGGTCTTCCAAGCATCTATATGCCCAGTCCTAGCCCCCCGAGATGGTTATGAAGGAGGCCTCACCATGGGAGCTACAGTTTGGGAATTGCCCCAGCCCCATGGTGGCCCGAAGTTGCCGAGGTTTAA